AGTAGGAAGCATGCAGAGGATGAATTACAATGGGTCCTCTATCCACAGATCCTGAATTTGCGAATTCGCCTACTCGCTCACATTTATTTGCAACCTCAAATCAACACTTGTGGGGCATCGACAGTCATTTGTGGGCACCCGGAGTGGTGAAAACTTTGAGCCGCCCAATGCCCACTGTTCTAGCTGAATTCCACCAAGGCAACACTCTGCCTTCTTGTCTCAGCTCTCATACTGGAAACGACTAGTGTTTCTAAGCTCAAGAAGACTGGGATAGGCCTTACAGGCAAAATGTATTAAGTGAGCTTTGTTCACGAGTTACAGCGCTGTTGGCCATAAGTTCAGTGTGAATGAATCAACAATATGAATTAGATAATGTGTTTTTGAATAGGTGGCCCTTAGGGGCTTATCCTTGTGTAACAGACAATGGTCTAAGATGGCATGTGGCAATCTTTTGGCCCTATTTTAAGTTTTGGATAATTTTTTGTTAACAAAGAATAGCAAATGTAGTTTGGGGGAGTGCGGTGATCAGGGGAGAAGACCTAGATAAAGGGAACTATAACACTGGCAACGTGTCTTCACCATTCTGCTTTGGACAATGATCAGGAGGTCCAATTTTGGTATCATTTTGTCCAGAGACAAGGTTCTCCCTTCACACCTCCATTTCCTTACAAGTTATCCACTCTCTGTCCTCTCTTTAGGGTTAGGATCTTGCATGTATCTGGGGCTCTTAGATGGAGGCTTGTCCTCAGGGATGAGTCTTATAGAAACAGGAGTGGTTCACCCTGGAAGATACAGTCCATTCTTGTAATTACAGGTAGTTATGTTCTAGTAAGTCTCCTCAAACATCAAATTGGCAAATATGGAGCCATTTCTCCTAGGGAAATTGGGTTCCTGTGAGCCTCTGTTCATATTTTTCTCAATCGATCAATATATCACCTTGTTTTATGAACAGATAGTCAATATTCTCTGCTTTGTGCATCATACAGCATCAGTCACAATTACTTAACTGCCATCATTACCGGAAGCAGCCATAGACGATCCAGAAATAAGTGGACATGGCTGTATTCTA